AACGTACAGTCCAACTGAATACCTTTTTGAAGTCGGTTAAAAAGACTGTTTTATGTATTGCAAGAGAAAGCACACAACCAAAATATTGAATTGGTTCAAACGATACCGTTACCGCAATTTACCGCAAATTAAGTATGTAAAGGTGAACGTTGACAGAATATTAGACATGCTCATCATCACAGCAAAGTCCTCCCCATAGATTGCCTCGGGGGATATATATACCATAGTTACCACGCCTTCTGCAGCAGTTGTCAACCCTTGGTCTGGTCTTGGCTTGGTGGCAATCTTTTTTTTATTTGTTATTAAGAGGACGCGTCTGTCTATCTCCTAGTTTCTTCTCTTTGACGATGCTCACGACACCCACGGGATGAAATGGGGTAGTGGATATTCCTAAATCGCCACTACATGGTCATGCACGTACGCATTGATTTAATACACATATTTCATCATGTAAGCAGGATAGTCAACACGCACTATTAAAAATGTAACAAAGTAGGCAATCCTTCTAAATACACACTGAATAAACGAAAATATTTATTTTATAGGATAGGGTGACAAACGAGCACACAGTCCACCTGATGGTAAGCGGTTGCTGTAGCCTATAGTCATCTACATCTATCCTCAATTACGAATTAAAATGCAGATGCGTTGTCACACGTGAGGACTAAGATGGAATGCCTCGATTCCAGTAAAAAGGGTCTCCGGTTGTCTACACTCACCGTACGAAATACAGCACCATTAAGCTACTATTTCACGCTGGTATTCTGTGAGAGCGTGGACCCTCCCCGGTCGAGCCAACCCATTCGTGCTACAACTATACTTCTAATATAACTGCAGCATGGCTCTACCACGTATAAATCATCGTGATAATCATGGTGATTTAATATTATAATTAAATCGTCATGATTATCATTATAGCAATTCAAAAGTCCACTGACGAACCTAAGCCTCTCCTAAGGAATGCAATAAAATAGTCCTAAGCCACCTGCATTCATTGACTGCATTTTATGTGATTTGCATTTTATCTGATTGTCAATTCATCTTATCGATGCCGCCCTACACATTGGTACGGGTAAATAACATGGCGGCCAATCGCTAATACTTTGGCCATGTTAGATTTAAAATTATAGAACAAATTAATAATTTGAATGTTGAATATTATATCTACAACGAATATTTTCACTACGGATTCCATCATGCATAGAAACTTTGAGTATGGCCCCATAGCTCCCTGAGCAACCAAGACCTTCCTCATACGGTCAGCAGTGAAGACGACGTCTCAGTTCCATATGTCATCACGTCATTATTATCGTCATCATTGACTCATTGATTGCCTCGTTGGTCTAGTGGTTGTAGTAGTGCGACTGCTGATCATTAGGTCCCGGATTCAATTCCCGGGTTGGGCCAAAAAATCAATTATTGAGTTTTTCCGTCAATAAATTCTCAGTAGCTGCCCGGAGTCAGGAAGTTGGCTGCGTCTCACCCCAGTGCCTCGTAAAGTACGTAAAGCCGTTGGTCATGCGTCTGATCTTTTTCCGGTCGTGTTGGTTTACCGTCCCATTGGATTATGAGAGTGAGGGAATAGAGAGTACACCTGTGCATACACATACACTTGGGCACTATAATCCTGTCCGGCGCCGATGACTAGTCTCCGTTGAAACAGGCCGCCATGACCGAAATTCGGTCTGGAAGACATTATTATTATTATCGTTATCGTATAATTAAATATTACCAAGAAATAATACGAAGAAAGAACCCTGCATGTCTCTGAGGTTCACCGTGTGGTTATTGATCTCCTGCGCCGCTGTGGTGGTCATCCAACAGCGATCTCGCTTCGGCAAATATCTACTCAGCCACTTTGTTATGAGCCCCGCTTTATGCATATGGTTTATTCTGTACAACAATGCCGACTTTTCATTACGAAAAACTGACGCAACCCTACGCAGTACCGTAGGGTTGTGTCAGTTTTTCAGTAGCTTCGGTGTAGATTCTGGAAAACGTTAACCTAAACTTTTTAAATGATGCCAATAAAATCTCAAAAACTTCAAATACAGCACGGTTTCATTGAAAATACTAAAAATAGATATAATCTACACATACACACAAACAAAAGTAAAAAACAAAGTATTTAGAAATACAATAGAGGTTTTATTCGTTTATTTTTTCAATACCCGGGTCCTATCCCCGCCGGTACCAATATAGGTAATTGGAATTGCAATTCAATTGCTGATTTATCACGTGGTTAGCGGTGAAGGACAACTTCACGAGGAAACCTGCATGTATGAAAAATTAAAATAAAACCGGCCAAGAGCGTGTCGGGCCACGCTCAGTGTAGGGTTCCGTAGTTTCACGTCCGTCACAATAAGTGTTCCCACTTATGAGTTTAAAGGTGGGTATCCATTATGTTCGCGCTCCAGCAGCGCTCCGCGCTCCTGCAACTGCTCCCGGTAGTGGGTACGTGCGCGAACATGGAGCGTGCAACATTGCACGCTCCGCGGCAGGCGATGCCAAGGAGAGACCAACCGAACAATTCGATAATACCCGACCCAATGTAATAAGTACCTACAGCGCCATCTCTCGGGGAATTGGGTTACTAATTAATACATAGACATGCCAGAAGTTTTCGGTGGTAATTTTGGATTGCGAGAACCGATTTTAATAATTCTTTTTTTTTTTGTTTAAAAAAAGATACGTTCAGGATAATAAAATATGTATCATCATCATTCTCTAAACCATTTCCCATTATCTGGGGTCGGCGCAGTAAATCTTCTTGTTCCATTCCTCTCTATCAGCCGTCATTTCCATACTTACTCCTTTCATTCTCATATCACTCTTCACACAGTCGATCCATCTTTTATTCGGCCTTCCTCTGCCCGTGTGTCCCTCCACATTCATATTCAACACTCTTTTTGTGACATGACTTTCATCCCTCCGCATCACATGCCCAAACCATGCCAATCTGCTTCCTCTCACCTTTTCTACCACTGGCGCTACTTTCAGGCTTCCTCTTATATACTCATTCCTTATCTTATCCATCCTTGTCACACCACACATCCATCGTAACATTCTCATTTCATTCGCATGCAGTCTATTTTCATCCTTCTTCTTGACGGCCCAGCATTCACTTCCATACATGACGACAGGTCGGATGATCGATTTGTAAATTTTCCCCTTCAGCCTTATTGGCATTCGGGGATCGCACGTTGTGGCTGTGACATGTCGCCATTTCATCCACCCTGCGTTAATCCTATGCTGCACAGCTCTATCTATTCCGCCGTCACCTTGAATGAGGGAACCGAGGTACTTGAATTCTGAGCAGGTAGGCAGTATAGCGCCATCCAAATATATCCAAATATATATAATAAAATATGTAAACGAAGTTAAAAAAAATGCTTGCATATACGATTATACTACAAACTTAGTCCAGAAATTATTTTGTACAACTTTTTGTCTTTTTTGTACAAAAACTGTTTCCATCCAAGTTCAAAATTATTTTCCTAGAAAGTTCTTATAAAGTTCTACTTTTCAGATTTTTTCATATTTTCTAAACCTATGGTTCAAAAGTTAGAAGGGGGGGGACACACTGTTTCTTACTTTTGGAGCGATTATTTCCGAAATTATTGACATTATCAAAAAATGATTGTAGTAACCCCCTATTCATTTTAAATACCTTTCCAACAATATATCACACGTTGGGGTTGAAATTAAAAAAAAAATCACTTCCCACTTTGGAGCCACATATAGGGGAGCTACCCTAATAAAATATTTTTTTCCAATTTTTTTTATTATAATTACCACTTTGTCGGCGTGATTGATACACATATTGGTACCAAATTTCAGCTTTCTAGTGCTAACGGTCACAGAGATTAAGCGAGGACGGACAGACGGACAGACAGACATGGCGAAACTATAAGGGTTCCTAGTTGACTACGGAACCCTAAAAATGGAGGACATGTTAAAGACGCCAACATACATTAGATCAGTGTTTTTTTTTAACATTACTTACTTGATGTTAAAAACGCATTCAGAAATCATCATAGAGGAGGCCTGTGCTCAGATTTTTATTTTTGAGATTTCTCAAAATATACCGGTCCGAATTAGTTAAAATGGGAAATCTAAGGTTGATGAAACACTTTGGACATAATCTTAGTTCATTTCAATCGGTCTAGCTGTTCAAAAGTTATAAGAAGTTTACATACATCCACACACACACACTCACATACATACATACAATACATACACATACAGCCATACAAACACCATCGCAAAACTGTCAGGGTGGCTTCCTGTGACCTCAAAACGATTGATGAAAACTCAATTTTCAAAAATCGGGGTAAAAACAATAACTTCCCGATTTATAAATAATTTCGATTTTCTTAGCGGGAAGTTACCAAAGTAATGCAGAGATCTTGTGTGCTGACATCATTAGGCATCATTTTTTTTAAAGAATATTAACAATGCTATAAACATTACTAATATTTCCCTTAACCACTCGTGGTAAGCTTAAATTGCTTGTGTTACGAATGGTTCACGCCAGTAGTCGAATGGTGGATTCGAACCCACGACCTTTTTGAGTTCGCGGTCCGCGCCTTGCCATTAGGCTACTGTCGCTTAATTTTATTACTTGATACAAAATATCCAGACTGGTGAAGCTAAGTAATGTCCAAAGTGAGAATCGGCAACGGAAAACAAATTACGGCAAAAGCTGTATAATCACTTACATACTTGCACAATCATTGACAACTTATCTATATATTTCGTCGCTAACGCCACGCCGGTGACTTAGATGAAATGCCTTGTTGCTTGTAACTGCACTGCTCCATCAATTCTGATCACTGTATACAGTACACTAACATTTATACGAATACTACTCTTTTACGCTGGTAAGGTGCCAAGAGGTACTTCAATCCAGTCAAATCGACCCACTTGCAAACTAAATCCAATATCTAAATACAAATCAACGTTTTTGTAATTGTTTTGAATTAAATAGTAACTAATACTCACTCTTTATTGATGACTGGAAGATAAGGGCTTCCGGCTGGCACAATCATTGCCACTTTTTCATCCATAAACTCTTCATCGCCTATTTGCAAATTTATATGTTTAAGCATTAGTAATAATCAATTTCTAATTATATTTTACTAGCTAGACAAGCAGACGTTGTTCTGCCCTTTTCGACGACTCCTTGTCATGTCCTATTAAAAATCCTTAAATTCGTAAAAAAAATATTGTGGGTCACTCATGGGCAAATAAACTATCTTATCTCTCAAATTGGACCAAAGTGCACACGGTGTGCAAATTTGATTAAAATCGGTTAATTAGCTTAGGAGTCCATCGCGGACAAACAACATGACACGTAATTTATATATATATTAAGATTTGTGAAACCAATTTTTAAATTCCTTAATATTAAATTCGAAATTAATGATTTTATATTTGTCATAAATATCCTTAATCATAAGAATAACTATTATGTATACATATTTACAAAATTATTTTACAGGATGTTACATCTTCAACTTTTATAATTGCTAAAATTATAGCACGTATTTTATTCTACTAAATTACGATATATAAAATACGATATTGATTAAAAACAAAAATAGAATGTGATATTTTTGTCAATCAGTCATAATGTCCACGTCAATGGAGACTGGCCATTGGCGCAGGACTGGGTTATAGTACCCAAGTGTACAGGGTTATAGCGTGCAAGCACAAGTGCTCTCTTTATTCTATCACTCTCATAGTCCGATGAGACGGTTAATTGATACGACCGGAGAGAGATCAGGCGTAGGACCAACGACTTTACGTGCTTTCGTAGGCACGGCAGTGAGACACCGCCAACTTCCTAACTCCGAGCAGTTACTGAGAATTTCTTGATGGAGAAGCTTGATAACTATTTTTTATTACTATACCAACAAAGAAGTTAAGTCAACGAGTCAATCAGTCAATAATAGTGTGGTGGTGTCGTTAGGTCACTTGAACTCATCTCACGGGTGTCGTAGAGGCAACTATGGGAAATGCCTCATGACTTCCGATATATATTAGGAAATATTAAGTAGCGCCAAGATATTAAGTAGAACAGAAAGTAGCGCCAAAGGTGATGACAGCACTGGTATCGCATAATCTACCAAGCGTAATTGAAGCAAATGCGATGAGCATGCAACTGGAGAAATCCATTTGGCCAGGCTGATGAAGAAGAGAAGAATCAAACTGAAAAACAACTTACTGACGGTGAAGTCGCATTTATTCGTGGCTTCGGTTTCCGCTCGCATAATGAAATTCAGGTTCATCTTCCAATCGATAATCACGTGTCTCTTATTCCGGACCCGCTCGAGGAGGGATGATCCTAAATTTTTATTACTATTAAAGCATTGAGTATCTCAGTCTCTTATTATCTAATATGTTTTGTGATTTTATTTTTACTTCTGCTTTATCGCGTGATTTTAGATACAAAATTCCTAATTCTCAATTCCTAGTCGAAGTTCTGGCTGCAACGCGTATTTTTAGGCTCGAGCGGGTAAGGTCCACACTCACATAAGATACCAGCGAAAAATGGCAACTTAATGCTACTGTGTTTCATATAGTGACTAAAGAGAACTGGATACCCTTTTAATAGCAAAGAGGCTAATGTTTCGACACAGCATCGATTTACCATCAATTGCGTGCTATCCGATAAAACACTTTTGCGATAATATCAAGAAGACTGCTTACTAGTTTCTTACTTTTACTTACATAAAATAGAAAGGTTTGAATAATTATTAAATTATTATATAATATTTGGGTTTTATTTAATTATTTTTTATATAAAGTTAGGTTTTTCACCCTAGACCACTGTAGTACAAATTTCTTCCATCAATTTTCCGGTTGGCTGGTGCAAAATGGCATTTAGTCAGCCGTTTATATCTTTAGAACAAAAAAGTGTTAAATAAATAAATTTTAGGCCTGCCGTCATGCAGCCACCAATCAACCTTAAATAATCTCTCCGTATTTAGGGTTCACCAAAAGTATGTCGATATGTTCCAAATCTTTTTAAGCAACATCATCATCTTCTTTAACATTATTCTTTAAATCAATAACTTTTTCTGAAACTTATTCTTATCCTCACAGTCAAATTTAGTTTGGAAAAAATAATCATTCGTTGACTTCATAAGACACTCCTACTATAAATATAAACACTCCTACTATATGCAAATAAGAAAGCAGCCTTTTTTATGTTTGTTACTGTTTGTATCAAAAGTTCGCTGGTAAAAATAGGCCTCCCCATAGATTGCCTTATAAAGGGATTATTCCATATTCACCACGCTTGGCCAATTGGTTGGCACTGCAGTTTTATTTAAGTTGTTCTTAGGAAGACATTGCTGCCCATCTTCTAGTTCCTCTGTCGTCTTTTACGACACCCACGGGGTGATATGGGATATTGGATATTGTTGCAAGCCATAATTGATGCTCCTAGCGCCATCTAGTGTCGGGGAGCAGAGCGAGGAGAGCTTTCTAGAAAATTCCATGCCTGAACTTTCCACCAACAGCGCCATCTAGTATCGAGTAGAAGAATTAAGCTTTCTAGAAAAGTCCACACTCAAATTTCCTTCACGAATTTTGTCAAGAATCCTAAGCTCATAACAATATGTTACACAGCCACAACACGATACGAAATGAAACGATACACGATATGAAATATTACATTTCATAACCAATGTGAGATGGTTGTTCAGTCATCTATCATCGTCAAAGTTGCAAGACGTCTGGTACAACGATCGTCAGTCGGTAGACGGACTGACGATCGTTGTACCAGACCGCGGCAACTAAGGCAAATCGTCCCTACAGAAGGAGAGGCCCATTTGCACACTTTTACGAGCTCACAAAGATAGAAAAGAATATGAGTGGATATCCGCTCTGCTCACACTACTAGCTCCACTACTGCCAACTCTGCGCTCACTAACTAGCTTAGTGCGGTAAGTATGTATACCTCTTGTTCAATTCTTGAATAAGTCTCTTAAATAATGACGATACCGTTTACTTAAGCATTTTTATTCGTTTTCTACAATAAGCCCATACCTGTACTCCGATAGCTTTGTACACTGCCTGTTGCAGTTGTCAATTCGGCCCCATTAAGTAACGATTTGTATTTTTGTTCATCAGAATTCTGTAGAAATAATGCAATATTTACAACTCTACCCAATCATTATCGTTAATCTAAGGACCTAGATGGAGCAGACTTCATTGTTCCAGTGCTAAGAGGCGGACTTCAAATATTCTTGCAAAATTTTAAATTCTTTTAAATTCGCATATTTCCTAACGCTCCTGGGTTTCAATGTCAAATACGAAGTAACTTAACTTATAAATAAACATTTCGCATCCCCAGGCCCCCTCAATTTTATGAAGCGATTAGTTAGCTGCGATATTCCAGTGCGCATAAGCGAAATTCACATGTCCTCGAAATATTTTATTGCTCAGACATGCTGGTTTCCTCACGTATCACATATTTTTCTTCATCGTCGAGCACGTGGTACACCAGCGCTTATAATTATAACTAACCATATGATTTGTGCCGACTGGGAACGAACCCAGGTTGCTCGGCTACTACGAAATTCACGCTGAGCGCTTGATCTACCACGGCCTACTTACCACAGTTGTTAACTAAAAACTTTAAGTGGTTCGAAGATTAAGCTTAGGATGCTTAGATATCATAAATTTTAAGACTTGTGCTGAAACAACTATACCTAGGAAGAATCAATATGTAATAAATTATGTTCACCATTACTTTGAAATGAGCATCATTATTGTACAATTGCACGATCATAGCAAATTAATTTTATTTTCATCTCAAATCTAAAAGATTCCCAAATTCATATTCGAAACTGATTTAATTAAGTGCATTTGTTTGTCAAACATGAAGGATTTTGGTATCTTTTTTAAGTTTTTAATTTAATAATAGTTTACCTTCAACTCCATCTCTAAATACGAGCCCTTATTTATTGACCATGTATAAAGATCCTTTTTTCCTACAAGTTCAGCTATCGTGGTCACTGGAACCTCTTGCTTGGGGAAAGTCAGGAATGCCACCAAATTGCCCGAGTACGTTGTTACCACAACTAACACCACCAACCACCAAGTGCCGACTACCAGACGACCACTATCCGCTCTTGGAAGATACATTCCACCTGGAACGAGGAAAGGCGATGTTGGTAAATTACCATATACATATATACGGTCTGGAAGAAAATGGGACAATGAAATATTTTATTCATTTAATATGACTTAGATACTCAAACAACAACTGTAAGAAATTATTGCTAAAGAAATTAATAGAATATGTGTTAACTAACTACACATGTTACTGAAATAAATTATAAAGACTGTTATAGATTTTTTACGCTGTAAATTCCTTTATTTGCTCATCACATTGTTATTTGTTACATCACAATTTACGGAACGAACTGATAATGTTTTTAGTCAATTGTTAGTCAATCAACATTATTGTACTATGTTTGTTTTCCATATATGACATCTAGAAGAAAGAGAGCTCCGTTTCACAGCTAGTGCTTGGCAACGTTAAAAATCTATAAGATTGTGAATCAATTCAAGACAACATCAACAAGTTTCTTATCATTAATTAGCATAAATATCTCACTGCAAAAGGTGTAAGACTCTTGCTTAGAATTTAGTAATATTTTAACCGAATGCACTCATTCACTATATATATTACGTACACTTTCCAGATCTATATTTTCCATGTTATTACTCTACTCCTATAGATTCAATGTCTCGTTTCCAATAAAAGGGGTCTCCGGTTCTCTACACTCACCATACGAAACACAGCAGTATTAAGCTGACGACCCATTCGTACTGCAACCTTATTATAACTGCAGCATGGCTCTAACACGTAAAAAACTTCTCAAACTAAATCGAATCCTTATTCGAATTTCAGACTTACAACCAATATTTGAAAACCAATATTTAAAAAAATAAAAACTGTAACCAACCCTACACATTGCATGTGCATGAGCCACACTGCAGCTTTATTATGGTTGTAGCATAATAGATCCGTCGTGGAAAGACCACGCTCTCACAGAATACCAGCGTCAAATAGTAAGTAGCTCAATGCTTTTGTGTTTCGTATGGTAAGTGTAGACCGGAGATCTTTTTTACTAGAAACGAAGCATTCCGTTTATGCCCTCACGGGTGACAACACATCGGCATTTTGATTCTTAGTTGAGGATATTAATGGGCTACAGCGTCCACTTACATCCAGGTGAACTGTGTTCTCGTTTGTCGTGCTTATTCAATAAAATAAATGACAGCAATTTTCAATATTTTTACGAAATATTTTTAGAAAAATGCTTAAAAATGATCAACGTGATTCTAATAACTTTTTACAATTCTCTTTATTTTCATTTAAAAACATTTACTCTTTTCATTTCAAATAAAACAAAACAAAATAAAAAAATTCTACATAGGATTTTATTTAAACAGACACCGACATAATCCCAAACGTTTCGTTTTGCTGAATTTTGCGCGAGACACTAACAAGCATCAAAATCCCCTCAAATTTAAAATTATTATTATAATACATAGTGCCTGGATGACCGAGCTTTCCTCAGGATTTTTTTTTTGGAAATTATATGTAAATACAAATTACATACTGATGAAACATTAATAATATTTTTTGATCTTATTGACATAATAGAAAAAACTGAACTGGTTATTTGAATAAAAAATCATGATTGCAATTAGTTTAATTTAATTTTTTTTATTTTTATAAAAATACTAAAGGGCTCGAAATAATAGATTTTCTCTCAAAAGAAGGGAACTTCAAAAAAAAAAAAGGGACAGGACGCGAACCACGGCACTCCGATTTCGCGACCGACCGATTTCCCACTTGCGCTATTACGATCGTTAATACGCTGTCAAAATTTACCTCCTTATATTGTAGCAGTTTTTCATTGACCGAAAACACGGACAAAAGGACATTTCCGAAACCCCCTGGACACTAAATGTTATGAAAATCGTTGGGGCCGTTTCCGAGATTCCGATTTTATAAATATATATATATATATATATACAAGAATTGCTCGTTTAAAGGTATAGGATATAAGATACATAAACAGCGGAAATGTCGTAAGCATTTTTAGTATTTATTAAAAAGAAGAACCTGTAACCAATTTTAAATAAAGAAGGTTGCAGATACGTTGTCACCTGTTAGTATTTAGATGGAACATGGAATGCCTGAGATCATGTTATTATACTAGCTTTTGCGTTTTTCACGCGTGTCCTAAGTACTTTTATGGAGCACCAGTAAAACACTGAATTTATAGTAACCGAGACGGCCGATAGACCACTGCCTTGATTGAAATAATTAAGTTACGCACTGTGTTCCGGCCTGGAAGAATCAGTAACATACCTAGTGGAACTTTTTATATATATTACGAGTATACGTTCTTATGGCTATATTTTATACAGTATATTTCATTATATGCAAATTTGGATAAAACTTACCCTGTTGGAGCAATGCGCCATATATATACCAGAGACAATTGTGAATTGTTGATAGGCCACCTTGACGTGGAATCTCCATGGCCTCATAATACGGGCTAAGTCGATGTACAATGTATAAAATAGGCCCCATCAGAACAACTGCGAATCCAAGGCACAACCACGTCTGAAAAGAGTGCGGTGTTTTTATTTTCTTTAAGCTATTAAAAATGAATGGACGTTTATATAATTTGATTAACTTGGTTAATTTTCAGTAGTACAGTTCAGCTACGAAGAACCACGCTCTCACAAAGTATCAGCGTAAAATAACAGCATAATTTTATTGTGTTTATTATAGTAAGTGACAAGAACCGAAGACCTTTTTTTAAATGAATGAATAAATGAATATACTTTATTGTACACCGCTAATAAATTTACAAAGAACATAACAAAGAGCAGATTACATGTACAATTTGACGGTTATCGCTACATAACGATCTCTTCCAGGCAACCAAAGGTGTAAAGGAATAAAACAGTGAATACTAGGTAGGTGGTGCAATATAAATGTACCTAATATAATATCAATACATGCAATAATATAACATATAAATAACTAATACATTAAAAAATATGATACACATATACATACGCATATACATAAACATACACATACACACATCTATATATATACTCAAACAATAACATAAACAAATAAATACAAAAACTGCATAATCACATAATTTATCCTAATGATGTTCGAACGATTGAGACAAGTAATGATCTTTAAGAAGACCTTTTTTTACTGGTAACAAGGCATACCGTTTTATTTCGCAGGATGGCAACACATCTTTATTTATGTTCTTGATTGAGGATAAATGTGAGCGTATGTGAGCCTAGCCGTTCACCATCAGCACTATATGATCGCTTGTCACCCTAATATGAAATTTAATTTTTATTAATTTAACAGTTTTTGACAGTTCTCTGCTGGTTGTTCCAATTAAAGACTGATATAACAAAATTTAAACGCTAGGTACATATAAATATTTATCACTTCCTAATCATTTATCCCTCTTTACTCGTAAAACCACTGCTGAATGGTTCAAATTATTAACCTCAGTTCAGAGTCTTTTCAGATTATTCTATTGCCCATAAATTCAATTATGGTGTCCATAACTTCGGTATTTAAAGAGAGAAGAGGAAAAGGAACAAGAGATAAAGATGTGATGTCATGAAATGGATAGGAATTATGGATAGAATCATATTTTGCCAGTTTTATTCTAGAATCAGAGTGACAAAGGTCCACCCGATGGTAAGCGGATGTTCTAGTCCGTATCTCTCAGTTATATATTTTTGCTAAGTATTGTGCCAGCTTATAAGTTGGTGAACAATCCCTCCCTATCACATCTAAATCCATCCTCGATTAAGAATCAAAATGCAGATGCGTTGTCAATCCCCTAAGATGGAATGCCTAGCCTTTATTAAAAAGTTCTCTGGTTCTCTACACTCTTTATAAAATATAGGTAAAGTACTCACATCGGCTCTAAAAGGCAGTAGGAACAGCATCGCACGACTTAGTTCCCTTGGCCGTGCTATGAGGAATGCATATGGTTGAGTACTCACTGCTATAGTATAGTTAATACCTAAAAAATAAAACAGCATAATATTTAGGTTTACATGGGGAAGCTTAAAATCTCTCATTGCATCATACATTATAAAGAGAGTTATGCTTAGAATTTATATATAAGTATTAAGTTTATATGTAAAAGTGGTATAATAACACCTAACGAAAACCATGTGGTATTTCTGGCAACACCCAAAGTCTCTGCTTACGACACGAACGTAACAAAATGAGATGATGATGGATTTAAAGCTCTTCCCACGCTGCGATGAAATATGCGAATAATGCTATAATGTTTTGTGTTCAAAATAATTCATCTTAATTCTCAAAAGTATCACGTTAATGACATTTAACTGAAGTTATGAGCCATCACTTCACGGCGAGCGCATAGCCATATTATTCACAGTACGCGAGCACCGTGCAACCGTGTTCAACTCACTGGCACCAATGACATTGTTGATTACGATTTTAAGTGATGACTTACCACGTGTTCTAAAGTGGAGGAAAATTTGTGAGGATACCTGCATCCTGCATATCTGAGGAATGAAAATAGTTTGAGGTCATCGAAATCCGTCACAGTGCTGGATCAGCACAGCGGTCTAATCGCTCCATAAACCTCTCAGAAATAAGAGGATGCTTGTGCCCAGCAGTGAGAAGTATATAGGCAGTAACTCCACTTACTTTATAGTCACTTTGTCATGATATAAAAATACTTATGAATCAATTAATTGTTATTGGGAATAGACTAACTTTTTGTCCACATGCGAAACTTAATGCTGATTGACGGAGCCAACTTTAACAACCTACCGATGACAGAGAAGTCATTCAATATTGTGGAACTCAAATTTCATATTAATAACATTACCTCTACATGAGTATCGGCTCTGCGATCGTTTAACCACGTCTCTAGCGTAATTTGTTTGTGCATAACCAACTGGTGCATTTTTGTAAGGCCCTTCCCAAAAGTAGTCTTGAAAAGGCTGTGATGTAATGGATGATATTTAAGGCTATTTCAAAATTTTATTTAATGATGCTAAAATTATTAAAGACTAGCGTTCCGCCCCGTTATTTCTGAATCTCGACAACCGTGCCACCTAGCGGGCTCTATTAAGTTTTTAAACCATCCACTTAAACAAATACAAAAAAAATCATCAAAATCGAGCCATTTTAGAGTTTTTGCGAGACTAACAGACAATTGATTTGTATATAGAAGAAGATTTGTAGTAAAAAAAAATATTATCTATTTTTTAAGAAATCTAATTTTTCATTTCTATTTTAATGCAAGTATTTCACAAAGTTGTTTACTTAAAATATAGCTGAAGTAGTTTTAAAAATTTTAGGCATGTTTTTACAATGCAATTGCATGCAACAATTGACAATACATCGTGATAACAGAAAACCTGGCAAAGAGCGGCGCGTACCTGGAATCGGATCTGGCAGAACACTGAACGAGGCGACGCCCAACGCCGCTTGGCCTTTGGCAACGGCTGCCATAGTTAACTTGGCACTTTGGCTGTGGATCGTCTAAAACGTCACGAAAAATTTGGATATTGCGAAAATGATACATAGTAGCTTGTAATTATGAAAATATGTAGAAATAATGGCAAACATACAGACAATCCACCGGATGATAAGTGGATACTGTGGCTTACATTTATCGACTTCTATACTGGATTAAGAATATAAACGCAGCGTTGTCACCACTGAAAACTAAGAGGCTTCGATCTTACGCCAATTTTCTAGATGTTAGAAAATATCTCTGTCACGATCAGTTGTATTATAATGTACAAATTATAATATAACCTTTATTCCGACAATTATATAGATACACTATTACAAAATTAACTTAAACTAGTTTTTTCATACACACAGACCCTTTTTGACAAAAACCTACTCCCACTGCGACAATTTTTCCCTGTCAACGGCCACTCGGTTCATATTATGTACAGAGCCACCAATAAAAACTGAGAGAAAAACAGAGTAGATATTCCATATAATAATATACAAAAATGTAATTTAAAAAATCTATAACAAACCCCTAATTCCGTTCGTTATGACGACTTAAAAGCGTTTTTATTTTAAATTATTTGACTATGCGAGGCCAACAGGATAGGTTGCCACGGCTCACTCTTCTCTTTATTAATTAGCGATCTTACCTTTTCATTTCTTAAGTGGTATAAAAATAATAATTTTATAATTAATGTTTTTTATTAATTACGTACGTTCGTGGATGAGGCCTTGGAGTAATTATGCTTTAGGGTGCTCGGCAGTATGATCCGAATTCTAAGAAAAACAATGGATAATTATGAAACAAATATATTATTTCACTATAACTATTAATAATACGATAGAAATACATTCATATATACATATATTTGTGTGTATGTATGTTTATTAGTGTAAGCTGACACGCACGCTGCATACTGGTGCCGTTTGTCATTTATGTGCGTGTATCTTGACTACGTAAGAGCACTCGTAAGTATGTAATTACACTAAGTTCTTGACAAAATTGTAGGACCTGGGGTGCTTCACACATTTTGAGTGTGACATTACAGCCGTATCTTTTCTTTTAAATCCGGCTTGGACGTATGGCATTGGTATTTGTTACGTCTATTTTTTTCACAATAATCTTTATACAGAAAGTCACATTACATCAAATAGCACTATTAATAAGAATGCGAAAGTTTGTGAGTGAGTGTGTATGTATGTTACTTCTTCAAGTGTACATTGGGATGGAGATTCCTAATATCTTGGATTAACACATAGGTTACTTTTATCAAAAAATTGGCTGTCCCTGTGGAATCACCGGCGGGGTTAGGGAGGGTGAGTTTACTCATCCAGGTAGGCGCTAGTTAAGTGACAAATTGTTAGTATATATATACCAAGTTTCAGTCTAATTGGGTCATTAGCTTTTGAGTTGTCAACGAGTAAACAAGTCAATCGGGAAGAAACTACCCACTATGGAGAAAATTGAATATCGCGTTGTTATTAAGTTTCGCACGAAACAAGGAAAGACATCTCAAGCCATTTTTTAAGAGATGTCAGCTGTTTATGGGAACTCTGCTTCTGAGAAAATCGTAATTTATTAATGGCACGCCCTTTTTAGACTAGGAAGGGAATTCATTGAAGACTGATTGCCTGACTGACTGATTGAGACTACCACGCCAGAAATAATTTTGACTGATCTAATAAATGTATTAGGGTTAAGGGAGAATACATTGAAAAGGAAAAATAGTTTAATGTTTCATTTGATTATCCTTCCCTGTCATTCCGCGAACTTTTGACCTTCCCTCGTATATAACATGCCTGTCTAACATTTGATGTAAAAGTTTGTCCTACGCGTTATTACAAATTAAATACCTCTATCCAGGAAAATGTTAACTTGTTTCTGTATTATCATTAACATTATCATCTAATTCTATAACAGCTTAATATATGTGTGCATAAAATTTGGCGTAAATGTTTTGTCTAATGAACTCTGAGGTAAGTTCTTAACCTTAGTTAGCATTATCATCAAACTCAGTTACAAGTAACAACATAGACCAGGAAGCTTTTAAGCGTAATCAGGATGATAAACGAGCACACAGTTCGCGTAGTTCAGTAAGTGATAGCTGTGGCCCATAAACATCTACAACTTTCGTCGATAAAGAGTTAAAATGCAGATGTGCTGTCACCCCTAAAATCTAAGATGGAATACTTTGTTTCCAGTGAAAACGTTCTTTCCTAATTATGTAATACTTTTCTTCAAAGTTTTTTGTATTGCGCTACCGTAATAATATTAAATTATGTAATAATGCAAGTCGGACGCGGTTGCATAGTGTGGTGCTACGGAACCCATAGTACACCGCATATTATATTGTGGAGTGCAGCTGGTGTATTATAAATAACATGTATAATTGATAATTATGAAATACAGAGCTTACGTAAAGTTTTTATTCCTTGCGAGTTGCTTAACAATATCAAATATCAACCCGCCATAACTTACAATCGCACCGGACTCGTTAACGTGCAGCATGGTCCATGGAGGATCCTACAACGAGAGAATGGTTATAAAGTTTTATTTTAGAAAGGTTTATTATAAAAAGCTATTTATTGTGATTTGCTTTTTGCGTTTTGTACATGTTAGAGCCACACTGCGACTACATTATGTTTATACCACGAATGGGCGACTCGATCGGAGAGGAACCACGCTCCGCCAGCGTGAAATAGCAACTTGTTACTGCTGTTTCATATGACCCATCTAAGTCCTCATCTCTTTCTCCACTGAAAAATATTATTGGACTCCCTCTCTTATCACTCTTAATAGGTTGTATTTTTGGAGTTTACTCCTCAAGAATAGTTTCATATACATACATCGCATGGTATAGAAAATAGGTAATAAAATCAAGCATTAACAAAAAGTCATATATTACTATTATATATTTATCAAAAAATGAAGCCATAACGGTTTTCCTCTACAGAACATACTCGCGCATCTCGTAGCGCTCTCCACTCCTCAACACTAAGTACACATTTACTCTCTCTCTCCCTTTCTAAACATGTAGAAAGTGTGGTGGGGCTAGTGTAACTGCATAACAACGTGACTACTGTTTCTATAATTTGACTATAGCATTCACTACACATGTATAATATCAAACGTCAATTTGTAGAGTTTTAAAGATTTAAAGTTTAATTTTTATTTATGTCTGTTGATATTTATATAGAGTTACATATTTTAAGACAATCGTTTTTCAGAAGTTAACCCCAGTCGCGCGTCAGAGCTGATACGTACATCTAACGGCCTCAAAATGCAAGATATCTAAACGGAAAACAAGCATCAAAGACACAAAAGCACGGTACTGCGTTCATCGACCTTCCTGACACTTGTGACAGTTACAATAAATTCTCACAAGGAGAGGTTCATGTCAAAGAAGAACTGGTTAAAGCATTTGACTCACATCATGATCATAATAGGTTTCCCCCAAGTAAAAACTACGAAGCACGGTCATGAGCCACCTGCATCCAACGAATTCCTGTATGGAATAAGGCCTACGTAAAGATATGAGGGGTTGCCTTACACAACGCTACGATACGCAGCTGCCACTTGGCACCGGTACAAGGCTGCCACTCGAATGCCGGTTTTACCCATCGGTTGTCAGTTGTCTCAGCTTTATAGCCGCTCCATTGCCACTTCAGCTTATTGATTCGTTGGACTATGGTTGGTTGCTGTGGCTCTTCTTTTATAGTATAAGGGTGACAAACGGACACACAGTCCACCTGATGTTAAGTGGATGCTGTGGCCCATAGACATCTACACTTATCTTCAATTAAAATCAAAATGCAAATACGTTGCCAGACCTGAGGACTGAGATGTAATGCCTCGTTTCCAGTGAAAAAAGTCTCCGGTTCTCTACACTTACCATACGAAACACAGTACCATTAAGCTGCTATTTTACGCTGGTATTCTGTAAGAGCGTGATCCTACTCCGGTCGAGCTGACCCATTCGTGCTGCAACCACAATATAGGTGCAGCATGGCTCTGCCACTTAGATTATTTTATATATTAACTCACATGAAAAGTTATAATGGGTAGCTCCTTCCCGCGGAATCCGTGTGCAACGTGAGGAAACAACACGTCACTGAATCTCACTCCGTCAGCTGGTCGCCAAGTTCCCACCTAAAACAGGTATGTATAATTCAGTAGTGGGAAAATTGTTAGATCAGTTATTTTTTTTTTTTGTTAAAATAATAATAAACAAAAGCACTAATTTTGAATAGAAAGAAGACTTTTATTTCAATACGAAAGTAGACACGGTGTTTTGAAGATGGGTGCAAAGTCTGAAGGGGATGATACCTTGAACCATTTCGAACATATTAAGCTATTTTTTTCTTGAACGAACTGTGCACCTTTTTTTGTTTAAATTTAAGGCTTTTTTAACAATAAAACCCATTTTTCAACATAATATTAATAATATTATTTTTAAAACAATAACGTGTAGCGACGACGTACACACATTTTCACGACAATATGCCATCGGTATTTTGTATGTCGCAACTGTGGAAAATGTCAGAAAGGCTTCGTGGCATCCGATAGATCGTGATATAGAAAACTGCGGTCTTATAGTTGGATACAGAAGAGTCAATAATTGACCCCATCGCAAAATGCAAACACAGTTAGGAAGCAAGCAAGTAATTATAATATATGTAATTAAAATATTCACAAAACATTCAAAGACATTGAAAATTAACAATTTAGTAAACTGAAAATAACCTTGCTCTAATTTGATAATCCATTTCATGACAATGACCTTAACTTCAAAGAAGTTTTTGCAAAAAACTAGGCGCTGTGATATCTTAAAATTACAGTTTTGCCCTTGCACACCGCCATAGCGTACCTACGCATTGCCATAACACGCATTACTTCATTCGTGCTTAATATTTTTAGCGCAAAATAGCAGCGTAATGCTGCTGTGTTTCGTATGGTAAGTGAAGAAAACCGGAGACCCCTTTTACGGAATCGAGGCGTTCCATCTTAGTCCTCAGGGGTGACAACACATTTGCATTTTGAGTCATAATTCAGGATAAATGTGTATGTCTAAGGGCCACAGCATCCAATTACCATCAGGTGAACTGTGCGCTCGTTTGTCACCCAAAGCTATAAAAAAGTATTATTTAATTATTATATGCTATCGTCAAATTAATTAAAAAAACTATTCATAAATAAATATTTGTGCAATAACGTGTGATATGTAACTAATTTTACAATTTACAATTTTGTCCATTAAAAATTAATTTATATTATAGTACACTTTGTCTGCTAAAAAGTTTTTTAGTCTTTTCTTAAAGTAATGATATGTTGAGATCTCTCCAACACTTGGGTAATTTATTATCATACAGCCGGCACTGTTACGTATTAGTGCTTTTTTTTTCTACTAGGAATGTAAACTATTTTATCTCCGCGCCTGTTTCTTGGGACAAGGTCTGCTAAGCAGTTAAAATGGTTCTCGTTCGACTTCACATTTTTTATAGAATAAGGGTGACAAACGAGCACACAGTCCACCTGATGGTAAGTGGATGCTGTGGCCCATAGACATCTACATTTATCCTCGATCAAGAATCAAAACGCAGATACGTTGTCACCCCTGATGACTAAGATGGAATGCCTCGTTTGCAGTAGAAAAGGGTCTCCGGATCTCTACATTCACCATACGAAACACAGCAGTATTAAGCTGCTATTTTACGCTGGTATTCTGTGAGAGCGTGGTCCTTCCCCGGTAAAGCCGACCCATTTGTGCTACAACCATAATATAGATGCAGCTTGGCACTACCACGTATAAAATAACGTATGAGGTAACACACTATTAAAAAGATTGAATCGAATTGAGTACCTCCTCCTTTTTTGAAGTTGGTTAAAAAGGAGTTTTCTCTTTTTCACATTGAATTATACCACAATTTTTTCTATAAAAGAAAATAAAATGATGTATCTTACCGCCTAGTTTGAAGAGCACCTCCCGTCCTCCCTAAATTCACCACCATTCTGTACACCCACTAATCACAATACACGTGTAATATTGTTGAGAACATTTTAAATCGCTATACTTACTTGCAACATTTGCACCTCTTCGATGACTCCATTGGTGGTGTTAGCTTCACTCTCCAGCGACTTCGCGGGGTCAACAAACTGTCGGTAGGTGGCGCCCCAAGTGTCGGCCGCGATCGCTTTCCACGTGTTACAGCTACCGCATTTACTGTTGGTTTCTATATGTTGCTGAAAGTTATTAATGAAAATATAATATCGGATGACCTTTTTTACCGTTTGGAAAAATATAGGGTGTAACATGTGAACGGAGTATAAGCCTATGTCACTGATATTTTACAAAAAAATTTAATAAAATTAATTAAAATCTATCGAAATTCAAACCATATCCACCCTACTTCACGAACGGCAATTTAGTAGGCATCTTTGACCTTGTCACTTCGCAGACCACAGAATAAATAATAGTACTACGTAAGTCACAGGCAGGGCGGATATGATCTCCCCCCGAACGGGTTCCCGCCTTGTCGTGGCGGGGGGCTTAGAAGCCGTGGCTTGGTCACCCACGGCGAAACAAAGAGGAACCCATATGGCTGGTCCGAGGTGGAGGGCTGGCCCGAGGTGGCCACTCCGAGTGGGCTTGGGAAGCCCACTCGGAGTGGCCTGCGGTGAGAGGTGTGTCCTCCCCACCTACCGCTGCAGCCGAGGTGGAGTCGCGGAGGAAGAGGAGTGTTGGTATGGCGATGCGCCACTCGCCCTATCCTCCGCGACTCAAACGGGGCCGCACCGTTGATGCGGTGGTGATGGGGCTGCGGGGGGAGAGGATTGTCGGTATTGCGAGGCGCCGCTCTCCCTATCCTCCGCAGCCGAATCTTGGTTAACGGCGGAGCCATAGACCAGATCCGCCGCTGGGGTCGGGAAGGCTAGTACTTCTAAGTGCTCGTTTTTCCTGGCCCCATGGCCTTCGCGCATCGGACGCGGGGGCGTCTGTCGCACAGATGTAATTGGAGGCCGTGGAGGAAGGCGTGCCATGTGTTCTGGTGCGCCTTACTTGGGAAGGAGAACGGGAGGAATATTCCTCTCCCGATGAGGTGCTGCCATGGGGCGGCAGTCGCTGGTGGGGCCGCGGATGTGTGCGAAAGTGTTCCCGTAGCCCTGCTAATATGCGACGAAGGTGGAACACCATGGGGTTTTAGTCGGTGCGAGTCCGACATAAACCGTCCTTGCCCCCGCGAGGCGGGTATGCGTAGGCATTTCCCCATGTTAAAAAAAAAGGGCGGATATGATTTGAATTTCGATAGATTTTAATTTATTTATTTATTTGATTCAAAATTTTTGTTTTTATTTTTTGTAAAACATCAGTGCCATGGGCTTCTACTCCGTTCACCTGTTACACCCTATTTTTTCCAGACGGTAAAAAGTCATCCAGTATACTAACAGCAATATCAATAAATAGCTGTTTTTAAACTAAAGATAGACATTAATTTTATATTATTTTTACATTTATACCAACTATTAACTAATAAGCTATTAATTATTCTAATAATTTTAAAAAGAAACCTGCATATGCTTCAATAACCCATCTCTTCGTTGCAGTTTCGTGGGCTTGATCGCCTCCCATTCCTCGTCAGATACTTGGGCGGCCACATCTAACTCCTCTTGTACAGCAGAGTCCAACGCTGATACGAAAGCCTTCATCATCTCTTTACAGTAACACATCAAACCGTTCTACAAATGATATTATTTTGAGTATAGTCACAAAATGGGCACAAAATTTTGCACCTTTGATGCTGCCTTTCACCGCTGGTTTAGTAATTCGTCAGGCGTAAACTGCATGTGGGATCTCCTTTAGTCGGTTATTATTAGGTTAGATTTTAGGGAGATTTTATACGTGGTAGAGCCATGCTGCAGTTATGTTAGTAGTATAGTTGTAGCACGAATGGGTCGGCTCGACCGGGGAAGGACCACGCTCTCATAGAATACCAGCGTGAAATAGTAGCTTAATGCTGCTGTATTTCGTATGGTGAGTGTAGAGAACCGGAGACCCTTTTTACTGGAAACGAGGCATTCCATCTTAGTCCTCACGGGTGACAAGTGACAACGCATCTGCATTTTGATTTGTAATCGAGGAAAGATGTAGATGTCTATGGGCCACAGCAACCACTTACCATCAGGTGGACTGTGTGCTCGTTTGTCACCCTATCCTATAAAAAAAGATATTTATTTTATTTAATTTATTAGTAACAAAATATACTACGTTTTACTTTTTATGACAGATGGCGCTGTTTCGGATACGTTTAACCTATATCGTCAGTGTAATTTCAAATTATTACATAACAGTTGAAACTAATTTGAAACTTTATTTATAAATATTCCATTCATTTTTAGAAAAACACTACATTATCCCGCTTATAACTAACAAAGTAGCTTATAAGTTACCCCAGGTCACGTATACCGTACAAACACCGCCATCTAGAGAAAGCAGTGAGTATCTCGCATCCCATTTTGCACACAGCCTAAATTTAAAACGACCACTGCATAGGGCTTTTTAATAGATTTCCTCACAAAGGGGATATTTGCAATAGTACCCATGCTTGGCAAGCTGGTTGGCAACCGCAGTTTTTTTTTTATTATTTTTCGTTGTTACCAAAATAATTATTAAAATGTGATACCCATATAGCGTGTAGTGACTGCCTAAAAGATTTCACTAAGATGATTATGATGATCTGCTTTTTCACCTATTATCCAATCATCATCATCTTAGTGAATTCTTAGACGGCATCGGGTGAATTGGTATTCCATTTTACACGAATATATATCTCACAGTTGCCTCTTATGACACAGGGAACGAATTTGGTGATGACGCAATGATTAGCGGCTGTGATTGTCTATGGCTAAGACAACGTTGTGAAATACTTTTTCGAACTGTCAAAACAAATTTTACTCTATTGTAATTGTTGCATGGGGAAAGCAAGCCGTAGTTTTTACAGTGAAATAAAAATGTAGTTTTCCTAAAAAAAATGGATCGCCAGTTCATAGAATAAATTTAATTTTTAAATAAATGATGGGGGATACAAAGAACCTTCCATATTTAAGTAGTTCGAAAATTAAGACTACTTAACGAACAAATTAACAATAGTTTTTTATACGCTAAGACATGTATTATCATCTAGATCTTCATCAAACCCACAATAAAAGACCCACCATCATCAACAAAGCTCTATGATTGCTCTGGATCTTAGCTTATCAATTTTAACATCTTTATTAACGTATGTGAGAATATTATGGTTATCCGGTTAATAAGGTATATGAAAGTTTTCTTATAACTCAAAAACTACAGCCTTGTTTGCATAGATGGCTCTGTGATACGTAACTCGTCATCAGTCAATCAAATAATAAAAGGTCAAAAGGGCTTTATCGACGCTATATTGGCAGTTGACGGAAAAAGGAGACGTCATGTATCGACGCTATATTGGCAGTTGACGGAACAGTAAAGGAGACGGTCCAAATTTGTATGAAACGTAGGCCTGGTTTTGTAAAGGTAGAGAAATAAATTAAAATAATATACAGGATGCTAGTGTATACACCGTTGTCCTTGAAACCAGTGGTTTGGTTTCACTTATAGAACGTAAATTCAATGAATTTAAAAAAAAAACGCTATTTTCTTTCATAAAGTTTAAAAAGTTTCTGTCCGACACCGTCCGTAAATTCATGGACACCCTATGCGCCTGAGTGACGTAATCACTGTAAAGATCACCGCCCGCGCTAGCTACCTACACAACATTCAACATAAAAATACAATAGGTACACATAACCTGCGATGTAACTTTTCCTTCATACTTTCATCCTGGCTTAGGACAAGCAAAAATTGAGGAATTAAGGAAAAATTGAGATTTTATTTAAAAAAATGTTGTTATTTTTCATTGAATTTACGTTCTATAAGTAAAACCAAACCACTGGTTTCAAGGACAACGGTGTTTACTCTAACAGCCTGTATATAATATATTACACCACTTTTGGTCATTCAAATCCACGAATTTGCCTTCATTTCAGTGGTGTTAATATTTTATTCTTACCAAAAACTGCAACACAAAACGCCAAAACGACATCAATTACAAATTGATGTCGTTTTGGCGTTAGCTCTCAACTGTTATGAGGTTATTGATGCCTAGTGATTTAAAATGTTATTCTACAGATGTCCGATATCAATGAAATCAAAATCTTACGTAAATCATGAAGTCCAAAAAACAAAAGTCGAGTCAAACAAGTAATAACAGATCCAAAGTCCAAATAAAAAACTAATCTCCAAAGAAATCCAAAAGAAACTCAATAAAACTTCACGAGTTCACAACTGCACGAACAAGCTCGGAATAAAAAAAATATCACACTACCTACATTAATTCATAAATCAAGTCACTTTTCACACAAGACATTTGAAATATAATTTTATGACTGGAAGGGCGCCATCTTGTAAAATAATCAAAAATTGGGATTGCATTTTTATTTTTAGCAATTTATTTAGTTTGATATATTCTCTTAATTTATTTTTAATAAAATCCCCGAATTTTTTACGGTATAGTGTACATATACTGGGCCTGAAATGGACCGTCTCCTTTGGTCATTATTTTTTTAGTTGTATTTCGGAGTGTTTCCAATTATTGCCAAAGCTTGCTTGCTATTTTTTTTCTAATATTATATTAGTAGAATACGGCTTTATGTTTTGTCTCTGTCCTCCTCATAGTTTTTGTTTTATAAGTATGGCGGCAAAGCTTAGGGCAAACCGTATTACCCTCATGTATTTTATAATAGATTTCCGCAAAGTAACGCTTGATTCTATTAAGTGGTGACGAACTACTAGATAATTTCCAGTAGTTTGTCACCACTTACTACCAGCTACAAATGTAATCAAGGATTGGCTTATACTCGTAATAAGTAAAAGAGAGGATATCTGAACACCGATTAATCTATACAGTCATATTTCTCTGTTTTCTTTTAGGATTTTTTTATAGGATAAGGGTGACAAACGATCATACAGTCCACCTGATGGTAAGTGGTTGCTGTGGCCCATAGACATCAACATCTATCCTCGATTACGAATCAAAATGCAGATGCGATGTCACCCGTGAGGTCTAAGATGGAATGCCTCGTTTCCAGCAAAAAGGGTCTCCAGTTCTCTACACTCACCATACGACACACAACAGCATTAAGCTATCCACTATTTTCCCCGGTCGAGCCGACCCATTCGTGCTACAACTATACTACTAATATAACTGTAGCTTGGCTCTATCACGTAAAATAACAGATAATGACACTAGAGCAAATATTTATTTACAATACCATCTATATTTACCACTGCTATGTCATATTATAGGATATAGTTAAATAAAAATAATACTATCAATTACTTTTTATGATGATTGCTTCTATAAGGCAATTATCATAGTTTCACACAGAATACCAGCGTGGAATAGCAACATATAATAATGGTAACAAAGTATTCCATATTTATCAGGGGTGACAACGCAACGGAACTTTGATTTCATGAGTGTATCTATGGGCCACTCCATCTACCATCTACTTATAATAAAGTAAGCCTTTTGTCACCCTTAACCGAAACTTACACTAATATCGATATTACAATAAACCATTTTATCTTCATTACCTTACAATGACGACGGTTATCTGTATAGTTATAAATATACGCAACATTCTCTCCTTCATATAGACTGTTAATTCGAGCGGTTAAATTGTTATTTTGTTTGTTGGTATCCGGTATAAGATACAACCATTGCGCCTGTGTGTGTGACATTAAGAGCTCACGCGCCGTCTCTGCTAGTGTTAACATCACGTCTGACGTCACTATTGTCATAAAGTTCTCACCTGCAATGATAAGTTAAGTAAAAACCTGTGTACTAGTTGTAACTGTAATGTACTGTAGTTGTAATAATATCCACTACCCCCATACCCTCCTATGGGTGTCGTAAGAGGCGACGGAGGAAAACAAACTAGGAGATATGGGCAGTGGCATTTTCCTAATAATACTAGGAAATTTAAAAAAATGTAAAAAACGACCGCTAAGTGTAAGCTATCTTAGCGGTCAGCCGTCGTACTCGTAGAGTCTACATTACCTGAAGATGCCTCGTGCAGAGGCGAAACACGTGTCGTATTATCGTCGATGGTGTATCTTACCTGGAATAGTTGTGTTGGGAGTAGTGGTGCTAGGACTAGTGGTGACGGAGTTAATGCATGCAATTGAGGGAGGGCGGGAGGTGCTCTTCAATCCAGGTAAGACACATCATTGTATCTATGTAGCGGAAGGTTGCAAAGAAATTTATATTTTTATTTTTTATTATAATGGATTTCCGCAAAGTAACGCCTGATTCTATCAATTAAAAAAACGTGTTTGCGAACCCGCCGTCTAAGCGTGGCAACTATGGCAAATATACCTTATGAAACTATCTACTGGGCTTATGTTCAGCTGTAGACTTTGGAACTCTTTGATGAATGAAAAGAAACGTCACTACCGCACTAGGAATCTTCCTTGTATTGTGGAGGCGTACATAGATAAATTCTATGTATGCCTCCACGATACAAGGAAGATGATTTGACAAATCTTCTTGGACGATATTCCTCGGCACCTGCACTGTATATACGTGGTAGAGCCAATAAGTCGGCTCGACCGGGGAAGGACCACGCTCTCACAGAATACCAGCGTAAAATAGCAGCATTTTACGCTGCTGTGTATTCTTGTGAGAGAAACCCGTTTTCTGGAATTGAGGAATTCCATCTTAGTCCTCATTGTTATTTGCAAGTTTTGATATTTAACAGACTTACAACTATTAAAATAAAAGTGTGAAAAAGGAACACTTAGCTTAACATTTGATGGTGAGTTGATGCTGCGGCACTAGATCTATTCTCGAACGCCTCCTTTCCAGCTAAAAGGGCTTACAGACCGCTATATATAAGCTATATTATTGTTGCAGCACGTACGCACGAATATGAACAAACAACTAGGCTGGGAACAATCATGTGCAAACAATACAAATAGTTGTATTTTTGGATTCAGACACGTGGCCCGCAGCGCCGCAGCCAAAATCTAGCCGCTGTTTTATCAAGCTGTAACTTTTTTGAACATTTAATTTCATTATTGTCACAATTCTGGCTGGTTCTGATTACGATAATCTATAAGTCGTGAATAATCCGCACCATGCCTTATGCACGCAAACCCAGTTGCCATCTTTTTCAGTCCGTTAAAGTTCCCTGATGGGGATAAGCCTCTTACGTTGAAGTGAGAATTTGGCTAAATCGTCACGTTTGGCAAACGAATTGACAATCGGAGTAATGTCCTCCAGACCGAAATTCGGTTACGGCAGCCGGTCTCAGCGGAGACTAGATATCTGCGCAGGACAGGATTGTAGCGCCCGAGAGTGTGCGCGAACACAGCTGCACTCTCTATTCTTTAACCCTCATAGTCCGATGGGTAATCCAACACGACCGAAGGAGACGCATGTCCAACGGTTTAACGTGCTTGCCGAGGCACGGGGTTGAAACATTGCTAATTTCCTGACTTCTTACTACAAGTCAAACATTACAGAAAACCCAATAACTGATTTTTCCGACCCAAGATTCGAACCTTTGATTCATGATCAACAATCGCATTTACGACTACTAGACCTACGAGGAGTTGATGATTTTAATAACAATCGTCTTGCACCTTCAACACTGCTATGGCTGTTCAAATTGTAAGCCTATAAAAGAGGTAATCTAAATTAAAAAATATTTTTGTTATTCACATACCAATTTTTTTTACCGGCAGTTTAGATAACACCCTGTGAATTTCTTTTTTTCTCGAATAGTCGTTGATCTCGTGTTTCATTTTATATACTGTTACCGACACCGATGGTGCTATCCTGTCGTCGATTTGTGACGTCAGTGACTGAACTACGCGGGAAATGATGTCTCGGTCTAGTAAATATATAATTAATATTATTTTTTTATATAGAATAAGGATCGGAACAAAAATCAATAATTTTAATCTGAAGGTAGACGTGGTTAACTATGACATTGGGACACGAACACCTTTGGCCTTCGGGGAACCCTTGTTCCCGTGACCATGGGTGCTATAAAGTGCTCGGATCGTCGGGAATATAACATAAGTTGATAAACGCGATAAAATCCGCAAAACTATGGTAACGTGGTAGAGCCATGCTGCAATTATATTAGTAGTATAGTTGTAGTACGAATGGGTCGGCTCGACCGGGGAAGGACCACGCTCTCACAGAATACCAGCGTGAAATAGTAGTTTAATGCTGCTGTATTTCGTATGGTGAGTGTAGACAACCGGAGACCCTTTTTACTGGAAACGAGGCATTCCATCTTAGTCCTCACGGTGACAACGCATCTGCATTTTGATTCGTAATCGAGGATAGATGTAGATGTCTATGGGCCACAGCAACCACTTACCATCAGGTGGACTGTGTGCTCGTTTGTCACCCTATCCTATAAAAAAAAAACTAGTTTTATTTAATGTGTAATCATTAAGCTATATGCTTCAAATTGAGTACCTATAACTTTTTTTAAGTCATAAGCTATCGGCGACCGTTTAGCTCCACCGTACACTGGAGCAACCACGGCTCTTCAGCAACCCAAGTTTGATCGCCCCTAGCACTCATTATGCGTTTGGCGGTGAAATAATACATTATAAAAAATTTACATGTTTGAGGAATAATAATATTTTGAGAATTTGTGAAGTCTACCAACACACAATGGATCAGCGTCGCGGACAATTCCTCCATAATGATCTTTGGCTGAATCATCACAAAACATTAGGTGTAATAATAATCAAGCACTGATTTATGAGCCGTGGTAGCTCAGATGGTTAACGCTCGCTGTACATATAACAGAACGCGAGTAACCCGGGTTCGATCCCCGCCGGCACCAATGAAATTGTTAACTGCAATTTTAAGTGCTGATTTACCACGTGCTTGGTGGTGAAGGAAAATATCGTGAGGTAACCTGCATGTCTGAGGAATAAGAGAAAAAAATATAATTTGAAGACATGTGAAGTTCGCCAACACGCATTGGGGCAGCGCGGCGGACACTTCCTTGCCCTAATACCCTCTCAGAAATGAGGGTAGGCCTATTCCCAGCTGTGGGACGTATATAGGCTGTAACTTTTTTACTGATTTATAATAAAAAAAAAGAAATGAGAAAAAACATGTGATCAGCAGTGGAACGAGGTTGTGGTTCTCTAAGATCCACGACCACGACTTCAGTGACGGCTGAAACTCTAACAACAAAAAAAACACATGATCAACGTACTTATACTTACTTAATGCATCATCATGCAATATAACAGCAGATTTCCAATCTAAAGCTCTCATTGTTCTCAAATCTAGAATTAATTGCGGCAACTCTTGACCGGCTACAGTATACGTGACAGTTATGGCGCTGTCAACCGGAAGACGAGGGCAGTCAGCCTCCGTCAGCGCGAACATCAAAAGCTCTTCGCCGTCAATCCGAGAGAATAGCGACCACGTGTCCTCGCACGATGCTACACTGAAGATGGCCAAAAAACCTGAGAACAATTCATTCATTAATTACAGTCTATCAAAAGTTCACAGCTAAACATAGGCTCCCCCTATAGATTGTTCCATAGGGGAGACATCTGCTATAGTTGCTACACTTGTCAGGCGGTTTGGCACCCGCAGTTTTTTTATTACTACTGTCTAGCAGTTGCTACCGATTATCTTCTGTTTTATAACTTCTATCGCATTTTTTTTAGAATAAGGGTGACAACAAGGGTGTAACGAGCATACAGTCTACCTGAAGATAAGCGGATGCTGTGACCCATAGACATCTACATTTAACCTCGTTTAAGAAGCAAAACGCATGCATCGTCACCCTTGAGGACTAAGATGAAATGCCTCGATTCCACTAAAGCTGGTCTCTGATTCTCTACACTCACCATTCGAAACACAGCAGCATTAAGCTGCTATTTTACACAGCATTAACCTGGTATTCTGTGAGAGCGTGGTCCTGCTCCGGTCGAGCCGACCCATTCGTGCCACAACCATAATATAGCTGCAGCGTGGCTCTATCACGTAGTAAATCACGTAGTACCAACGTGTTACCACACCCAACGAACGATGTAGTAAGAGATTCACTCTCAAGCCACTAGACGTCCTCTACTGAAAATATCCCCCCCTAGATTGCCTCATATGGAGATAATTGACATAATTTTCAATGTAGGCATAGGTATAGCAAGGTAGGCAGGTTGGGATAGCATCTGCAGTTTTTTTTTTATTATTTTGAATGGTTATGACGATCTGCTATCCATCTTTTATTTTTCTACGATTAGTAAATTCTTTTACGCCGCTACTACCCGTCAAACATATCTTTTATTTTGTAATTATAATTTTTTATTTTAAAGTAAAGAACATACAAATTTCACTGTCAATAAAAGAGCTCGTGAGCAACATAAAACACCAATGGGTTTAGAAATTATAGATATACGACGAAAAAGCTTAAAAATGAATTATCAAAATCGGACTGCTCTGTAATAAATCACCCTTATTTTCCTAACCTCAAGGTAAAAAAATTTTTTCCAAATTTATATGTGACCAATTTCAAGATATACCCTATCCAATAAAAAAGAATTATAAAAATTGGACTACTATAATAAATCACCCCCATTTTCCCACCCTTAGGGTAAAAAGTTCTTTTCCAAATTTATATGTGACCAATTTCGTGACATACCTTATCCATTAAAAAAAGAATTATCAAAATCTGACTACTCTGTTAAAAGTTATACGTGGTCATACATAAAAAAAACAAAAAATATACACGTCGACTTGAGTACCTCCTCCGGTTTTTCGTCACAAAACGAGAAATTCAAATTCTTCAGGTAAAGTCTCAGTTTACGGCACAGAAAAATTTAAAAGAGTTTTGAATTTAAATAAAAGGAGCCAAGTCAAATAAATGATTAAGAAGTCAAAATTTTTTATGGATTTGCAAGACAGTAACATGGAAAATATAGATCTAGAAAGTGTACATAATATATAATGAATGAGTGTATTCGGTTAAAATATTACTAAATTCTAAGCAAGAGTCTTACACCTTTTGCAGTGAGATATTTATGCTAATTAATGAAAAGAAACTTGTTGATGTTGTCTTGAATTGATTCACAATCCTATAGATTTTTTAACGTTGCCAAGCACTAACTGTGAAACGGAGCTCTCTTTCTTCGGGATGTCATATATAGAAAACAAACATAGTACAATAATGTTGATTGACGAACAATTGACTAAAAACATTATCAGTTCGTTCCGTAAATTGTGATGTAACAAATAACAATGTGATGAGCAAATAAAGGAATTTACAGCGTAAAAAATCTATAACAGTCTTTATAATTTATTTCATACATGTGTAGTTAGTTAACACATATTCTACTAATTTCTTTAGTAATAATTTCTTACAGTTGTTGTTTGAGTATCTAAGTCATATTAAATGAATAAAATATTTCATTGTCCCATTTTTTTCCAGACCGTATATATATATATAGTGTTTTGACAAAGTAGCCATTAGTTTGATTAATTTGGTTGGGTAATAATGTTAGAACAGGGCCCCACAAATTCACGGTACGCCCCTAAAAACGGCGTGCGAAAACCTTGATGAGGGAAACACATAACCAGTAGACCTTAATAGGCTGATAAAAAGGAAGGATTTTTTAAGGCGAAACTACGAAACTCTATGTTTCTCTATCCTCCTCTATGTTCTTTGTACTGCTAAATAAATATGATTTGAAATGGCTTATGGTATGGCACTAATCACATGGCATACTATTGGTCGATTTTTATCTCTGAAAATTATACTTTTAATCATAGTTAAAGCAGACTTCAAAGAAATCAGAAACAAGAAAAATTAATAAAATAATTTCCTCATAATGTATAGCTTCTGAAATCAGTGCAAAGACACAGTGTATAAAAATAATGTATTTGGCATAATCAGCAATTCGATTAACAACAGAACAAAAAATTTACGTTACATCAATAAATAATAACCGTATTGAAAATAAATATAGATGTATTCAAAAATAGATTAACCTTTCCTGAAACTGATCGAAGTCCAAGAATAGTAATGCACGGCAAGTCCGCCGTGTTTAAGTTCAACTCTCACTAAGTCCTTGATGTAGTCTTTCAGCTTCTCCAAAATCATCTGATATTGTTCGCCGAGGAACTGTCGGTCGAGCACTACAGCTGTAAAACAAAACTGGGTGATAAAAACAGAATCTATAGAATGTAAGTACAAATATAAAGTGCTAATCAAACTGCACCTTGTTATTCAATGATTAAAATATTTAACAAAAATAAAAACCGACTTCTAATTGTTAAAAAATAAATTATTTACTTGCAACCCTTAGAGTCGGAATTTTTTCTGCAAATTTATATGGGAACACCCTTAAAGTATAAATTATTTAAGAAAAAAGAATAAGTGAAATCGGTTTTTTATCTGCGAAGATATCATACGAAATTCCTTTAAAAATAGTCCAATATGAAACTTTTTCTTCTATTATCCACCATAGGAGCGGAATTTTTTCTTCAAAATTTATTGAGACCACCCTTCAGGTAAAGCCTATTTAATAAAATAAAGAAATATTAAAATCGGTTCACAATCTGCGAAGATATCGCGTAACATATAATACAAAAAACATCATCAGGAATCAAAATTCAGTTGTACGATCACCCCTAAGGACTAAGATAGAATACCTCGTTTCCAGTAAAAAGTGTCTCCGGATCTCTATACTCACCATACGAAACACAACAGCATTAAGTTGCTATTTTACGCTGGTATTCTGTGAGAGTGTGGTACTTCCCCGGTCGAGCCGACCCATTCGTGCTACAACCATACTATAGCTCCGTACTACTATAGCCACGTATAGTACTCTTCTTCTTTTCACCTTTTTGAAGTCGGTTAAAAAACGAATAATGGCCATAATTAATATCTTATCTTTTTAAATAACCGACAACCAGTACGGTCTCATGAGTGCAGCGTCGCACTGGGGATGTGCTGAGAAGGTTTACCGAAGATTCAACGTAGCGGTGTCAGAATATCCACTACCCCATATCCTCCCATGAGTGTCGTAAGAGGCGACAGAGGGAAACAAACCTGGAGATGGGCGGCAGCGTTTTCCTAATAATAATTAAAAATACCTCGGTGGCCAACCCGCCTTCTAAGCCTAGCAACTATAACAAATTGGCCCCTATAATTCATTCCACGGGGGGAGGCCTATGTCCAGCTGTGGACATTTGATTGGCTGTAACAGTACCAAACAATAAGTTCTTTAGACAGGTAATGTTAAGTTGCAAAACGTAGAGTGACTACGCTTCGTGTGATGAACGATGAGAACTGGTCAATCACAAAACACGTAAATAGACTTTAATCTCGATCTCATGAATGTCAAAATCTGTTTCCAGTAGAAAAAATATAACTTTTTCTACTTTGTTAACAGTAAAACGAGGTAATTGCTAATTAGAATGTTGTATTTAATATTCAGGGTAAAATTAAAGTCATTATTGGTATCCATTGAACCTATTATTCTACTAATATTAAGGATTAATTTATAGGAAATTAATTTAGTAATTGTAATAATAATGTCCTCCAGACCGAATTTCGGTCATGGTGGACAGTCTCAACTGAGACTAGCCATCTGCAGTCTGCACACGACAGGATAATAGTTCCTAAGTATGCGCAAGATCTACTCCCTCACTCTCATAGACCGAGGGACGGCAAACCGACCGGAGAGAAATCAGACACAGGATCAACAACAACAAATTGCTTTATGTGTTTTCCGAGGTACGGGGGTGAAACACCGCCAACGTTCTTGGCTCTGCCTGACTGATTTTTATTGGCCCGACCCGGGATTCGAAGACGTCGTGTTAACGACCACTAGACCAAAGAGGCTGTTAATTAAAATCATCAATTGGAAATTAGTAATTGTAAAACATAAGCAAAGTACCAAGACGTTGCAATCTCTGGCGAGGGTTGCTTTTGAGAGTGTTTAAACTATATATTCTTTTCATTTTAATTTGTAATAATAATTATTTATTTATTTATTTATTTTATTCTTTATTGTACCAAAGATTTTGTACAAAAGGCGAGCTTAATGCTATATGGCATTATCTACCAGCTAACCTTAGGTAGAACAGAGAGTGAGTTATGGGCAGTAAAGTTGTCATGATCACATTCAATTCAAAAATGTACATGCTACACATACATAAAATATATATATATATATATATATATATATATATAAATATATATATATATATATATATATATGTATATATATATATATTATATACACTTACATATATAAATAATATAACTAATACACATATTTATACATATACATATATATATATATATATATATATATCCATAAATTTATGTACAAATAACTATAAACATATAAAGTAAGTGGACTCAAATTTTTGTTGGTTACGGATATATTCGTATAGTTTTCTTTTAAAAACATTTTAGCAGGTATTATTCGCAGGTCAACAGGCAATTTGTTCCAGAGGGAGATGGAAGTTAATGTGAAAGAATTTGACATAAACCCAGAATGGTGGAGAGGAGTAGACAGTAATAAATTGTGTGAAGATCGGAGATTGAGAGAATGAGTGTCACTACGGAATTGGAATCTTTCTTTTAGGTAAAGGGGTGAGGAAGAATCATTAAGAACTGAAAACAGAGAGGACAGCATTCGAAAATCTCTGCGCTGGCGTATAGTCAACCACTTTAATTGGGAGCGAAATTCTGATACGTGATCGTATTTGCGCAGGCCAAAGATGAATCGTATGCAGTTGTTAAGTAACCTGTCCAACCTGCTTAGCAGCTTCTGAGAGATATTAGAAAGACAAACATCGGCATAGTCAAATAATGGAAGAATTAGAGATTGGATGAGTAGAAGCTTAGTTGAAGGAGGCAGAAAGAACTTAAGACGATAGATGGAACGAAGTATGCCTGTGACTTTACGACAAATCTCGGACACCTGTAACCTCCAACTAAGGGTCAGGTCAATAATTAAACCCAGATCCTTGACACTAGTGCAGAAAGGAATTACACAGTTTTCGTAGCGAATGGATGGTAGATCATGTATGTTAAGTTGTGACACCAATCGACGACTACCAATGATAATAGCCTGGCATTTACTGGGATTTACCGTTATACCAAATCGCTGTGACCAGTCTGAAATGCGTTGTAAGTCCTGATTAATAGCTGCAATAGCGGTAGCAATTTCAACCGAGGACGCTTGTGAGTATAACTGAAGATCATCAGCATAGAGGTGGTAAGAACATTGAAGGTGGGTAGTTAGAAGATTGATAAACAACGAAAACAAGAGAGGAGAGAGAATGCCGCCTTGCGGTACACTAGATATAGATCGCACCAGTTGGAAAAATCCTGACCAGCCCGAACAGCCTGCTGGCGACCGCGAAGATAAGAGGAAAACCAGTTCAGTACTGACGAGGAGAAGTTTAGGCGTGAAAGTAATCCAAGGAGTAAGTCGTGATCGGCACAATTAAATGCGTTTGAAAAGTCAATAAGGACCAAAACAGTCAAACATGACCTCTCCATGCCCTCTTTAAAATCTTCTGTAACTTGAAGTAACGCTGTGGTGGTACTATGTTCCGGGCGGAAGCCAGATTGATACGTACTAAGGTAGTTTCATTTCGAAATTAAAGAGGTGACTTGTTTGTGTACCAATGATTCAAGGGCTTTGGAAAGAAACGGCAGTATAGAAATAGGTCTAAAATGGGAGGGTAGGGATGGATTGGGTACTTTATCAAGAGGCAAGATAAAAGCTTTTAGCCATAACTTGGGGAAAACACCAGTAGAGAGGGAGAAATTGAAGATCTGAGTGAGAACTGGAGTAATAATATCGAGTATGAGAACTATCATAGATCTATAATGATTTCTTAAACATTATAGATCTATGATAGACCTCTACATAGGACAAACAAAAAGATCCATAAAAACCCGCGTGAAAGAACATATAGCTGACGTGAAGCACCGACGCTCCGGGAAGTCTGCAGTCTGTGAACATGTTCAAGATCGTCCCCACCATTACATCAGATTTGATAAACTACAAATACTCGCAAAAGAACACCGATTCCTACCAAGGATGATACACGAGGCTATTGAAATTAAAAAACATCCTAATTTCAATAGAGAAGATGGTTGGGTGCTGCCATCTGCTTGGGATCTTATAATTAACAAAATTAAACCCAAACCCAAGCATACCACTGCAAGACTTTAAGATACTGTAAGTTCGTTTTGCGTAAATCGGACCAAAAATTAATATTCAAAAACTGAAGGTAGCCGGGCTAACAATGACATTGGGACGTCAAATATTTCAGTCCCCCCCGTGACCATGGTTGCTGTAAAGCACCCGAAACTTCGAGAATTAAAAATAAGTAAAATCAGTTAAATAAACGCGATAGAATCCGTAAATTTAGTTTTATTCAATATCATAGATCTACTCACCTCATCATATCCGGTTGCGGAAGATTTTATTGAAAGTATGGCTTTTCTAGTATCATCGTCAGTCACTGAACTGAAGTCGAAAGAATTATATGATAACAAAGGCATGGAATTAAGTTCCTGGAGAGTCGTAGCTTTGGTGGACAAATGCAGACGTGATGCAGAAGAGAAGTGTATGTTCAAGTCATTGAGTGAAATATTTGGGATTAGAGAATTGGAATGTGATTTTCCAAATCCCAGGGATTTAAAGAACTTCCATATATCTGCAGAAGAGGAGTTTGAAATACTATTGTGGAAGTAGCGGCGTTTGGCTGTTCTTACCACCTGATTACAGCGGTTTCGTGCTCGCTTGTTGCATGTGCTCGCATTGTTGAAAGGTGGAACTGTTCCGACTCTTTTTAAACATGTGAAAAGCTCGATCTCTTCTTCTCATTGCTTTACGCACTTCGTCAGTTATCCACGGTGCAGGAGGTCGGCGTAACCTGACTGCTCGAACTGGTGCGTGCCTATCGAATAGGTTGAGAATTTGGGTGTTCAAATGAGCAATTTTGTCTTCAATATTATTTTCATCCAGCAATGGGCCCCATTCTATATTCTTAGCATCGCGGTGTAGTCGAATGGTGTCAATTTTATTGAAATTGCGTAAATACACAATCACTGGCTTTGGCTTGGGAGGCTTTAATTTATACGACATGACCAAAAGATCGTGTCGAGAAAACGCGGGAACAGCCAGTTGATCATGATATATAACATGATCCGTTGAACTAGTGCAAATGATATCTAACCATGAATCTTCGGTGTCCACGTTGTGGTGAGTTGGACCAGATGGTAGAATATAGAGATCTGCCGAGTCCATGATGGCTTTAAGTTTGCGACTCTGAGGAGAATCCTTTAACAAGTTGGTGTTGAAATCACCCATTATTATAATATGTTTGTTATCAGTGCTGATGGAGTCTATCACCGATTCAATATGGGAAAAATAATCAGTTGAAGGAGGGCAGTAAACAACTCCGAGCACGACCCTCAAACCCTTAATTTTTACTTCTAGAAATAGGTACTCAGCAGATCCTCTATATTCAGATGGTGATATTACAATGACATCATATGCATATTCCGATCGCAAGTAAATGGCTACGCCACCTCCACCTTTGCCAGTGCGATCAGAACGTACGAGATAAGTACAAATCCAGGAAGACTGTACAACGTGGAGGATAGGGAGGGTTTTAGCCAGGACTCTGAGATTATATTTATTGTTTTGATATTATATTTATTAGATAATTACTTAAAATGACGAATATTTTCTTTTAGTTTTCTTACTTGTAGTATAAAAGTTTTGGATTTGAAGTATAATAATATTTTGAGTTTAAAAGAATGCAAATGATTTCAATTTTACCCTGTATATATATTTCTTATATAGGAGTTAAAAATATAAGTGGGGAAAACGAGCTGGGA